GACAGAAATCTTATTGCGGTCGATTCATTCCTAACATATCTGCTTTTCTTGTAGCTGTTTTATTGGAGTGCAAACATTCAGGATGATTTGCTAAAGATTCCCAGAAAAAAACTTTTAGAATCGATTTCCGTGGGATGTGAAGTTTCACAATCAGGACTATAAACACTATCAAATATTACAAGGTGGAGTTCCACAGCCATAAACAGTTTAGCCAGCTTGACTTCACCTCTAACATTTGCTCATTCTCCAGATAATCTCTCAGCACTATAGAGATAACACATTCTTGCCAACTGTTTTTTTGGCTGGACAGACTTTTTATCCTAAAGTGGAACTTCGCATAAACTCGGATGTTCTGCTCATTTTATTCCTCCTCCCTCTCTGTCATTAAAGCAAATATTTGAGTGGGTGTCTTTAATTTTGACAGGTACCCACTCTCAATTCAGCTCGGATCACCTAGGCGATCCGAGCAGAAGTTCAGCCCCCCTTGCCTGCAATCTCCTGGGATGTTACAGTTCCCAGGAGGCTGCAGGTTTATTCAAAAAGTGCAACACAACTTGCGCATTCACAGTGAGGATCCGGCTGTGAGCCAGTAGGAAGTCACATCCAGCTTCCCACACCCAAGATGGCAGCCCTGGGGACCTGAAGACCAATGAAGAACTGGCCGCCGGGGTGATGACAGCACTGGATTCCTAGGCTGGTGAGTACCTGCTAATTGAAATACTGTAGCTGCTGACCTTTAATTTTTCTGAAAACAGCTAGAGTACTTTTTTCCTTCTCAATTAAGCATTAAGCATATTAGATATTAGCAGAACCCGTTTCTGAACTTAATCAACATTTACCACTAAAGTCTGCAGTGTATATTAGCAATCAAATGTAGAATCAGCTTTACAGTGGCTTGAAAAAGTATTCATAACCCTTGAAATTTTCCACATTTTGTCATGTTAAAACTAACAACATAAATGTATTTTATTGAGATTTTATGTGATAGACCAATAAAGTGGCACATAATTATGAAGTGGAAGGAAAATGATAAATGGTTTTCACAATTTTTTACAAATAAATGTCTAAAAAGTGTGGCGTTCATTTGTATTCAGCCCCCTTTACTCTGATACCCCTAATTAAAATCTATTGGAACCAATCGCCTTCAGAAGTCACCTAATTATTAAATAGAGTCCACCTGTGTTATAATGTAATCTCAGTATAAATGCAGCTGTTCTGTGAAACCCTCAGAGGTTTGTTAGAGAACATTAGTGAACAAACCATCATCAAGGCCAAGGAACACATCAGACAGGCCAGGGATAATATTGTGGAGAAGTTTAAAGCAGGGTTAGGTTATAAACAAATATCCCAAGCTTTGAACATCTCACGGACACTGTTCAATCTATCATCCCAAAAATGGAAAGAGTATGGCACAACTGCAAACCTACCAAGACATGGCCATCCACATAAACGGACAGGCCTGGCAAGGAGAGCATTAATCATAGAAACAGCCAGGAGGCTCATGGTAAGAAAGCCATAAGAAGTCCCATTTGCAGTTTGCGAGAAGCCATGTGGGAGACACAGCAAACATGTGGAAGAAGGTGCTCTGGTCAGATGAGACCAAAATTGAATTTTTGGCCTAAACGCAAAATGCTATGTATGGCAGAAAACGAAGACTGTACATTACCCTGAACACACCATTCCCACCGTGAAACATGGTGGTGGTAACATCATGCTTTTTTTCAGCAGGGACAGGTAAGCTGGTCAAAGTTGATAGGAAGGTGGATGGAGCCAAATACAGGGCAATTTTAGAAGAAAACCAGTTAGAGTATGCAAAATACTTGAGACTGGGGTGGAGGTTCACCTTCCTGCAGGACAATGACCCTAAACATACAGCCAGAGCTACAATAAAATGGTTTAGGTCAATGCATATTCATGTATTAGAATGGCCCAGTCAAAGTCCAGACCTAAATCCAATTGAGAATCTGTGGCAAGACTTGAAAATTGCTGTTCACAGACGCTCTCCATCCAATCTGACAGAGCTTGAGCTATTTTGCAAAGAAGAATGTGCAAAAATTTAACTCTCTAGATGTGCAAAACTGGTAGAGACATCCCCAAGAAGACTAGCAGCTGTAATTGCAGCGAAAGGTGGTTCTACAAAGTATTAGCTCAGGGGGGCTGAATACAAATGGTTTTCAAACTTTTTTACAAATAAATATCTGAAAAGTGTGACATACATTTATCATTTTCCTTCCACTTCACAATTATGTGCCACTTTGTGTTGGTCTATCACATAAAATCCCAATAAAATACATTTACATTTTTGCTCGTAACATGACAAAATGTGGAAAATTCCAAGGGGTATGAATACTTTTTCAAGGCACTGTATATCCACCCAATGTCGGGTCTGATTTGTGTTCTATTCTATTCTCTATGGCCTACTTTATACAGGTGATTAGGGGCAGACAGCTGTTCAGCCTGTACAAACCAATGACAGGCTGAGAGGAACTGTTGCTATTCGCACATATCCACACCTCAAGCAGTTATTTGTGGTTAGGGATTGATGTTGGACTCTGGATGCAGACAGAATTATCCAGTGTCAGACATCTGTCCCTAACTACAGGTAACTGCTGGATGTGCAAATTCATGTGAACAGTGACAGCTCCTCTCAGCCTGCCATTGCTTTGTACAGGCTGAACGACAGCAGCTGTTCCCATACACCTGTGATCCCAGCCTTAAGAATCTGTTGGCTCTTGCTGCTAGAATAAATTGTATGCATCTAATTGTCCATGTGAAAGAGGCCTTAGACACTATAACCAGACAAGTTATAGTGAGGTAGGCTTATGCAGGCCACAGATGGGTCGAATTCCAAAAGAATTTTCTTTAGAAAATCTGAAATTTTGTGCGTTTTGTAATCCAATGGTGCCACCATTGATTTTTCCATTTGACCAACCAAGTCTTTAATTTCACATAATCTCTCATGTTGCTACAGAAAAGAATTTTCAAGGGCAAGAATTTTCTTTTCTTTCCAGATCACAGCTCATGCTCATTTCTTTTTCAATTACATTTCTCGCATGATTCTCCAATCATTGATTGGAAATTAGTTTGTTTTTCAAAAAAATTCCAACATGCCCGGTGACTCGAATTCCATGGACGCTTGAAAATCAGCCATTTCTGTGGCCCAATAATGGTGCAAACAAATTTGAACAAAAATTCTTACAAAAGATTTTCTAGAGAAAATTCTTTCAGAATTCGACCCATGTATGGCCGGCTTAACAGGAAACAAAAAGCCTTTCACTAATCCAGTGAGAAGCACAGTAGAACTCCTTAAAAGGTGTTGGCATGTCTCACTTCCATCACAAATCCAAAAAATAAAGAGAGTTTATTTGCTATTTTAGGATAGGTAGTGTAGCCATGTAAATTATTTCTTTTGGTTCCTCACTGAATTGTGCATTTAGCACTGCTACTATACATCACAGATACAGCTGAATATAATACGGACATGTATTCCTAACTGCATACAGTTTCACGCATTTTAAATATAATTGGTGCAATGTTTCTATGACGTAGTCTTACAGTTTACAGCAGCCTTTCTCAACCTTTATAACACAGAACTCTTGAAATAACTTTTTGGCTTTAGGGAACCGATGTTAACAATTATTATGCTAACAGCTCACAGTACATTAATGTGATGGTCAAAGTGAAGAAAGCTCCTTACATTTATGGTCATTGGGAAGAATCCCCCCTTACAGATAGCTAACAAGATCAATGGTGTCAGTGGTTACTCATTTAAGAGGCAGAAATTGCCTATTCTTCAAGGAACCCCTTGCTACCTCTGAAGGAACCCTGGTTGAGAAACCCTGGTTTATAGTAATCAGTTTCCAGTAAAAACACATATTATTGTATATTATATACTTAAAATATAAATAAAGGCATTTTTAAGGTTTGGATCAAGAAAACAAGCACAGGATGCGGCAACAGCTAAGCGTAGATAAAAAAAGCCATGAGGGAAAATTATAAAGATTGTACCATCGGTGCTGCACTGCCCAAGGAGGTTGCTACACAATCTGGCTGGGTCCAGTCAATCTGCCCAGAACTAACAGTGCCTTCACAACATCGTCCAAACAGTGTTCCTGGCTGCCTTCAAGTCCAGTATCGCAGACCCAGCCGAGACCCTGCCGAGCTCTGCAGTTCTCCATATGGATGTTTCATGCTTTTATCCTTTTAATAAATATGAGTGCAATTTTTTTTTCCTTATGGAGTTATTTATCTACACTTAGATGGTGGCACTTCTTGTGCTTGTTTTCTAGTTACAGATTAAGACTGTATATCCAATCCACTATAACGGAGCTGCAGCCATACTACAGTGGAATTCCTAAGACTCCTTATGCATGACACTGAATTTTTAAGGACTTTGCTGATGGGACTTTAACTCCATTTCCTTCAGTTCCTTACCACCGTAGTCTACTTAGCACCATATTATTGTTTTTCATACATTTTTTATTTCGGTTTGGATGCAGTGGTGAGATGTTACATTCACTGTCAAGCTGTTAAAGCTGCCTGTTTTTCCCCGGTTAGAAAGAGTTGCTCTCTTCATTTGTCCTGATCACAAATGTCACCAGGAATGAAAGAGAGGGTAAATCCAAAATTATGAGTAATCACCAGAACAGGAACAGAGGGGAAATCTTCCAGTGGGAACAATTGCAATCAAGACAATTATCTAAGAGGACAAATAACTCACTTTGAAATGAGAAACGCTCATGTCCTGTTGTGTCTATAGGACAAGAAGTGAAATGAAATCTCCCCAGTTAGACAGAAAAGGTGACAGCTGTTTTAACCCTCCCCTACTATAACCCAAATTAAATTTGGTTTTACATATACTTTTATTTTTCACAGACAGCAAAGTATTTCCAATGTTTAATGATCCATCACACTGAAAAGTCTACAATCAAACTGCTCTTACCTATTGATTTCCCAGGGTAAAGCTTAGCCTGTGAGTAACCAGGGATAGACGTCTCATCTCGCGCTCGAAGATTGTCCAGCTCATGTTTAATGATATATTGACATTCACCCATCGTTAAAAAATCTTCTCCTTCATCTGCATAAAAAAATGCACTTAATGATTAGAAAAATATGTGCAATATACATTTAAATAGAACATTTAAATAGAACAGAAAACATGCAGGACTTTATTCAGAATGTTATCTTCAAATTTTGTTCAACTAAACTACCTAACAATGACACTATATTGCCAAAAGTATTGGGACACCCCACCAAATCATTGGATTCATGTGTTCCAATTAGCTCCATGGCCACAGGTGTATAAAATCAAGCACCTAGGCAAGCAGACTGCTTCTACAAACATTTGTGAAAGAATGGGTCGCTCCTAGGAGTTCAGTCAATTCAAGCGTGGTACCGTGATAGGTTGCCACCTGTGCAATAAGCTCATCCATGACATTTCCTTGCTACTAAATATTCCACAGTGAACTGTTAGTGGTATTGTAACAAAGTTAAAGCACCTGGGTACAACAGCAACTCAGCCACGAAGTGGTAGGCCACGTAAAATGACAGAGCAGGGTCCGTGCATGCTGAATCGCACAGTGTGCAGAAGTCACCAACTGTCTGCAAAGTCAATAGCTAAAGACCTTTAAAATTTGTGTGGCCTTCGGATTAGCACAACAACAGTGCATAGAGAGCTTCATGAAATGGATTTTCCATGGCCGAGCAGCTGCATCCAAGCCTCACATCACCAAGTGCAATGCAAAGTGTTGGATGCAGTGGTATAAAGCACACCACCCCTGGACTTTAAAGTAGTGGAGACGTGTTCTCTGGAGTGATGAATCATGCTTCTCTGTCTGGCAATCTGATGGACGTATCTGGGTTTGGTGTTTGCCAGGAGAACGGTACTTGCCTGACTGCATTTTGCCAAGTGTAAAGTTTAGTGGAGGGGGATTACGGTGTGGGGTTGTTTTTCAGGGGTTGGGTTTGGCCCCTTAGCTCCAGTGAAGTGAACTCTTAAGGCGTCAGCATACCAAGACATTTTGGGCAATTTTGTACTCCTAACTTTGAGGGAACAGTTTGGAGATGGCCTCTTCCTGTTCCAGCATGACTGCACACCAGTGCACAAAGCAAAGTCCATAAAGACATGGATGAGTGAGTTTGGAGAGGAGGAACTTGACTAGCCTGCACATAGTTCTGACATCAACCCAATAGAACACCTTTGGGATAAATTAGAGCAGAGACTGTGAGCCAGGACTTCTCATCAGACATCAGTGCCTGACCCCAAATGCGCTTCTGGAAGAATGGTCAAACATTTCCTATAGACACACTCCTAAACGTTGTGGACAGCCTTCCCAGAAGAGTTGAAGCTGTTACAGCAGCAAAGGGTGGGCCAACTCAATACTGAACCCTACGGACTAAGACTGGGATGCCATTAAAGTTCATGTGCGTGTAAAGGCAGGTGTCCCAATACTTTTGGCAATATAGTTTATATTTCAAAGAAAATCATTACAGATAGAAACAAAGAGGCTAACATTGCTGATCACTTTCTGAATATACTAGTTAGCTATCTGTGCTTACTATTGTAACATGATATGTAACAATCATGCAGTTAATGAAGAAAGAAGAAAATCATAACTCCTGGTCAGCATATTTATTCTTGGTTAGTGAGTCAAAGTATCAAAATAACATCCAAGCAAAAAGCATTTTCAAAGGAGAGTTCAACAATGGCAGTATACATACAGGATTTTCTAAATAAAGATTTTCCTGTCAACCTGTGGGCAGGGTAGGGACACTTAAGTACTTACATATTTTGTGCAAACAGTAAATGAGTTTACTTAAGTAGCCTTTGCTGACCTCTGTAGCTGCAGGCACCATGAAGCAATTTCAGCCTTTAAAACTCAATGATTAGAAATGCCCTCCTTATCTTGGATAAATTTATATTTCAATATTTTTATTGAAAAAATGGTATACACAGAAATAGAAATATTACCCACCTACATGGCGAGTTGGGCTGAACAAACATGTTTATATTTTTATAGAATATATAAGCACATAGGAAAACATTAGTCGAAGATATTGTAAACAGGAAACACCATCCCCATAGGGTAACAACTGTTCCATCAGTCAGTATGCATAGGCAGTTTCATATAGATATTTAACCACTTCCCGTCCGGCCGCTGTTTATAAACGGCAGGACGGGACACCTACAGGAGCGGGTTGCCGTCTCTAAACGGCACCTTGCATCTGAGGCTCGTGCGCGGGTCCTAGAGCGCGCACCCGCGAGCCCGATGATCGCCGAGTCCGACGGACACGGTGGATTACGTGACATGGTATGGGACCAATGAAATTGGTCCCATACCATGTGATCAGCTGTGTCCAATAAGGACACAGCTTAAGTGTAAACAAAAGCCGCATGGTGCGGCTTCCGCCTCCTTCTCCTCTCACGGAGTTGTCTGTGAGAGGAGAGACAGCGAAGAAAAGGGCTGTAGCTAACTGCCCTCCACCTCAGTGACACCTGATCGCCCCTAAAGTGTCCCTGATCGCCCCTAAAGTGGCCCTGATTGCCCCACGTGTCCCTGATCACCCCAACAAGTGGCCCTGATCGCCCCAACAAGTGGCCCTGATCGCCCCCACAAGTGGCCCTGATTGCCCCCACAAGTGGCCCTGATTGCCCCCACAAGTGTCCCTGATTGCCCCAAGTGGCCCTGATTGCCCCAAGTGGCCCCGATTGCCCCAAGTGGCCCCGATTGCCCCAAGTGGCCCTGATCGCCCACAGTGGCCCTGATCGCCCACAAGTGGTCCTGATCGCCCACAAGTGGCCCTGATTGCCCACAAGTGGCCCTGATCACCCAACAAGTGGCCCAGCAGTGTCCCTGATCACCACATAGTGGCCCAGCAGTGTTCCTGATCGCCACAGTGTCCCTGATCGTCACAGTGTCCCTGATCGCCGCAGTGGCCAAGCAGTGTCCCTGATCGTCACACAAGTGGCCCAGCAGTATCGCCGCAGTGGCCAAGCAGTGTCCCTGATTGCCACACAAGTGGCCCAGAAGTGTCCCTGATTGCCGCAGTGGCCCAGCAGTGTCCCTGATCACCGCAGTGTCCCTGATTGCCGCACAAGTGGTCCAGCAGTGTCCCTGATCGCCGCAGTGGCCCAGCAGTGTCCCTGATCACCGCAGTATCCCTGATTGCCGCACAAGTGGTCCAGCAGTTTCTGATCGCCACAGTGTCCCTGATTGCCGCACAAGTGGTCCAGCAGTGTCCCTGATTGCCACAGTGGCCCAGCAGTGTCCCTGATCGCCACACAAGTGGCCCAGCAGTGTCCCTGATCGCCGCACAAGTAACCCAGCATTGTCCCCGATTGCCGCACAAGTGGTCCAGCAGTGTCCCTGATCACCGCAGTGTCCCTGATTGCCGCACAAGTGCTCCAGCAGTGTCCCTGATCGCTGCAGTGGCCCTGATTGCCGCAGTGGCCCAGCAGTGTCCCTGACCACCACACAAGTGGCCCAGCAGTGTCCCTGATCACCGCATTGGCCCAGCAGTGTTCCTGATCGCCACAGTGTCCCTGATCGTCACAGTGTCCCTGATCGCCGCAGTGGCCAAGCAGTGTCCCTGATCGTCACACAAGTGGCCCAGCAGTATCGCCGCAGTGGCCAAGCAGTGTCCCTGATTGCCACACAAGTGGCCCAGAAGTGTCCCTGATTGCCGCAGTGGCCAGCAGTGTCCCTGATCACCGCAGTGTCCCTGATTGCCGCACAAGTGGTCCAGCAGTGTCCCTGATCGCCGCAGTGGCCCAGCAGTGTCCCTGATCACCGCAGTGTCCCTGATTGCCGCACAAGTGGTCCAGCAGTGTTCCTGATCGCCACAGTGTCCCTGATTGCCGCACAAGTGGTCCAGCAGTGTCCCTGATTGCCCACAGTGGCCCAGCAGTGTCCCTGATCGCCACACAAGTGGCCCAGCAGTGTCCCTGATCGCCGCACAAGTAACCCAGCATTGTCCCCGATTGCCGCACAAGTGGTCCAGCAGTGTCCCTGATCACCGCAGTGTCCCTGATTGCCACACAAGTGCTCCAGCAGTGTCCCTGATCGCTGCAGTGGCCCTGATTGCCGCAGTGGCCCAGCAGTGTCCCTGACCACCACACAAGTGGGCCCAGCAGTGTCCCTGATCACCGCATTGGCCCAGCAGTGTTCCTGATCACCACACAAGTGGCCCAGCAGTGTCCCTGATCACCGCATTGGCCCAGCAGTGTTCCTGATCACCACACAATTGGCCCAGCAGTGTCCCTGATCCCCACATTGGCCCAGCAGTGTTCCTGATCACCACACAAGTGGCCCAGCAGTGTCCCTGATCGCCGGATAAGTGGTCCAGCAGTGCCCCTGATCACCGAAGTGTCCTTGATCACCGCAGTAGTCCAGCAGTGTTTCTGATTGCCACACAAGTGGCCCAGCAGTGTCCTGATCATCGCAGTGGCCCAGCAGTGTCCCTGATCGCCGCAGAAGTGGTCCAGCAGTGTCCCTGATCACCGCAGTGTCCAAGCAGTGTCCCTGATCACCGCAGTGTCCCCGATTGCTGCATAAGTGGTCCAGCAGTGTCCCTGATCACCGCAGTGTCCCTGATTGCCGCAGTGGCCCAGATCACCACACAAGTGGCCCAGCAGTGTCCCTGATCACCACACAAGTGGCCAGCAGTGTCCCTGATTGCCGGACAAGTGGTCCAGCAGTGCCCCTGATCACCGCAGTGTCCCTGATCACCGCAGTTGCCCAGCAGTGTTTCTGATCGCCACACAAGTGGCCCAGCAGTGTCCTAATCATCGCAGTGGCCCAGCAGTGTCCATGGTCGCCGCACAAGTGGTCCAGCAGTGTCCCTGATCGCCACAGTGTCCCTGATTGCCACAGTGTCCCTGATTGCCACACAAGTGGCCCAGCAGTGTCCCTGATCACCGCAGTGGCCCAGCAGTGTCCCTGATCACCATACAGTGGCCCAATCAGTGTCCCTGATCACCTTACAGTGTGCCTGTTCATAAAGTGTCCCTGATCTCTGCCACACCAGTGGATCCTGTTCACTGCCATCGTCTGTGAGGAGAGAGATCCAGTACAGCTA